TGTGCCAACTTGTAGAATCCTTCGGGGATTGATATTACTGTTTTAGCATAATTTGAATATTATACGGTCTCAAACCAAGGTTTTGAATACTGTTTTGCAAACTCGGCCATATTTCTAAGTTTTGAAAACTCAAATGATATTTTAAGTGTTATTTCGGGCTGAGGACTACTGTTTTATAAATGCCCATGGGGCTCATAATGATTTTTGAACTGTGCATGGATCGGGCTGCACGCCGCAGCAGTATTTATACTAAGATGAGCATGGATCGGGCTGCGCGCCGCAGCAGTGTATATATATTGGATCGGACTGCACGCCGCAGTAACATTGCGCTTGGGCTGTAGGAGCCCCTCCGGAGTCTGTACACACCCCCAGTGAGCGCCGTCGACGTTAAATGGATCGGACTACACGCCGCAGTGGGTACCAGAGTGTACCGTCATATGCATTGCATTGCATTCATACATTTGTGCACTATTTGTTGTTTATGTCATTTCTTGAGATATTTATTTGTTGTTCTGAGACTGTCTGATCACTTTTAAAGTGGATAAATTTGAGACAGTGGTAACAGTGACACTGTATAATGTATAGGGGTCAGGTAACAGTGGCTGACCAGCGGTAAGAATATTGCCTGAAGGGCGAGTTATGAGTTCAATTAGACATACTTGCTTGTGCCCGAGAGGCTGACTTTTGTGCTAACTTGCACTACCTGTCCTGCATTTACTGGCTTAAATTGTTGGAAAAATGATATTTTCGAATGTGATTTTAAACTGAGGCAGATATTTTCTAAGGAATTTTCCCGGACTTACTATTTTCTCAAATGGTTGTGTCTCCCCATATTGCATGGTGGAGTGCTCCTACGTGATTTCTTGCCTTCAGTTATTATTTACTCTTATTACCACTGAGTTGGAGTACTCACTTTACTCCCTACACCTCGCGTGCAGTTGCATGTATTGTTTGCCCGATAGAGGCTTATTAGCGGATTGAAGATTTGTTATCGTAGCTGAGTCAGGTGACCGCTAGCGTCCACGGCACCGGATCTTCTCCCTTATTTTATGTTGTTCATATTAATTTCAGACTTTGTTTCCTATTTCCGGACTTGTAGTTCTTTAGTGAATTCTGTAGTAGCTCATAACTAGTGACACCCTGATGTCGGGCTGTGATGGGATGGTTCCCAGTTGTTATCGTTGTTTTCCGCGCTTTTGATTATGCTAATCATGTTTTAGCTTTATAAATGTTAAATAACTGTTAAAAAGAAGCGTTTGTTTTGTTGGCTGGCATTGTCTTCACGAGATGTGCCATCACGATCGGGTTTGGGATTTGGGTCATGACACTGCTGCAGGAGCATATTCGAGACATGAAAAGTGGTGAAAGTTTTCTCCAACATATCATGATCAATAATATTATCACCACATAATTTTAATTGGGAAATAATTCTGAACATAGCAGAATTATACTCACTTATATATTTAAAATCTTGTAGCCTTAGATGAGTCCAATCATATCGTGCCAGTGGAAGAACGACCATCTTCAGGTTGTCATATCTATCTTTCAAATTATTCCACAGTATGACTGGATCTTTAATAGTGAGATATTCCATTTTCAGGCCCTCATCAAGGTGATGGCGTAGGAATATCATTGCTTTGGCACGGTCTTGGTTTGATGCCTGATTTTTATCCTTGATGGTGTCTGCCAGACCCATCGCATCAAGATGAATTTCAGCATCAAGCACCCAAGACATGTAGCTTTTGCCCGATATATCCAGGGCTACAAATTCAAGTTTAGAAAGATTTGACATTATTTAGGAAAAGAAAGTTCTTACCTCTAATACTTTCAAAGTATTTGCTCGAGATGTCAGAGTCTCGTGCTGATAACATGTTATAAAATAAAGACTGTAAAGTAAAGACAAGTATAGAGAGAAACTGTTATATTATTCGAATTCAAACTGATGTACATAATGAACTGAAATCTCTTCTATTTATAGAAGAAAGGAAGTTGCTGTGTAAGCTGCTACAAGATATGGATAATCTTCTACTGAGAGCAATGTTTATTCATAACGGAGTACTGAAAGGATAAGCTTATTATACCCGATATGGATAATCTTCTACCGGGGGTAATGTTTATCCATAACTGGGTATTGAAAGGATAAACTTATTATACCCGGTATGGATAATCTTCTACCGGGGATAATGTTTATCCATAACTGGGTACTGAAAGGATAAGTTTATTATACCCGGTATGGATAATCTTCTACCGGAGGTAATATTTATCCATAACCGGGTACCAAAGTGATAAGCTTCTTCAGGAAGCTTATTTCCAATAGAGTACTAAATAAATAAACATATTTACGGTGGAGTCCCATATGAATAAGCTTCTTCAGGAAGCTTATTTACAACAGAGTATTAAATGAACATGCATACTATAATATATTTATAACATTCACATGTAATCCACCAATGTTAATGGACAATAAAATATCAAATCTGCTTTTAATTTTCGCATGAAGTCATATTAGATATTGAACGTGAAACGTGGGGAATAAAACACAAGCATTGCAAGCAATATTCTTACATAGTGCAGCTTGTCGGTCTGATCTCTGTAGGAGAATTTAGGAAAAATAATTCTTCTTTAGGTTCAGCATAAAGTGACAGAGAGTTTGATTAGACAGAATAAGAATAGTGCCGCCCATTCTTAACCAGTTCTTAAAGGATTCGCTCATGCCGGAGGGAGTATCTTATATAATTAAGGGTGTATATGGACCGAGTTGATTCAATTTTTATCAAAATCAAACCAAATTCACTATATAATTTGGATTAGTTCGATTTTATCGGGTTATTCAGATTTTTTGTTATTTAAATATTATTTCAATCTTACTTTGTTAATTTTTTTGCAAGTAAATATATGTTTAGTAAAAATATAAAAAATTGACAAACATATTATCATTTAATTATGGGAGAATTTTCTTAATAACACATAATAATTCTTTTTTTGTTGCCTGGCAATAATTTTTCATTGAGGTGCACGTTCAAGGTTAACCGAATTTACTAATTAAACATAAAAATCAATATGATACCTAAATAATAATAATTACTTCGCATTCGAAAAAGATATAAGAATTTAATAGATCTCAACATATGATATGAATATGGAAGAACAAAGAGCTTGACGTAACACTTGATAAGAAAGCAGTCATACAACCCACTATTTAAGGTTAATAAACATGGAGCACTTATTCTATTAAATATTATATCCCGCAAGAGAATTTCAAATATTTCTAGATATTTTTTAAAGAAAGTTCTATATAAAATCTTAAAAGTATATATAAAAATTATATATTTATATGTCGGTTTGGTTTGGGTTTTTTTACTCAATACCAAACCAAATTAAACCAAACTTAGTCAGATTTTTTAATCGATTTGGTTTGACTTTTCGGCTTGGTGCGAGGTTCGTATTCGGTTTGTACACCCCTATGTATAACTAATGCCACATTTAGATGATTGTAGTAGCCAAATTTCGCTTAGGCTACTGTATTGGTCAAAATCTGACCATCACGACCGAGCTGACCAACGTCCCGCCTAAGTGACCGGACAACGAAAGATAGTATAGCCCGCTCCATACCCCTTTCCCGACATCCGACGAGTCGGAAAGAGCGGCACCTAAAAGCACAACTAAGACACATTGGAGGCAAGAGGACGTCGGGCCAAGCAAAGGGCAAGGGTGCCACGACTATATATAGCAAGGGAAAGCTTTCAATGAAGGGGGCCCATCTCTAAAGCTAAAAAGCTCTCTCTTAATATTCTTGATAGAGAGGAATTAATCTCTAGAAAAATATGTAAAGCTGTCTCCTCATCGATTGATGGGAGACACAATAGTGAATCTCAATAAGATCATTTACATTTTCTTCATCGTACATATGATCCATACTGCTAGCTCTTTGATCTGGAATTTATTATGTCTGACTAAGATTTACCCCCTTCATCTTTGATTGATTTGTTCAAAAAGGTTTCAATATCTTTTGAGTCAAACAGCTACATCCATCATCTTTGTGCGCTAGATTCCAACCGAGCAAGTCTAATTAGCTAGCACGACATGACCCATAAATTCCAACTAAGCCAACTTGCAAACGTAGCTCGACTCGTCAATAGTAATGGCTTATGCATCATCTAGCTAGGCTAAATCAAACCCCAACAACTATGACACATCACGGCCTCAATATATTTGGTATATTAGGGGTTGTACCCTCTTCTCCAACTACTTCTGACCACTATAAAAGGGAATCAAGACCATCTTCAGCAGCATCCAACTTCTGAAAATCAAACTTTCTTCTCACTTAAAGGCTCTCAATCACCATTTTATATCTCCTTTTATACATTGTGTCTATTATTTCTTCAGTGTTCTTTATTATTGCATTCATCCTGCTACAGCTATCATCATCCACATTGATCATATAAGAAAAAGATAATCGCATAACTAATGCAGCATTTGGTTAGTTAGAGGTGTTAAATAATGGGAAAAAGTACTACTTAACCATGAACTATGTAAAATGATTAGAGACTAATTAATCTCTAATCCTAATATTCAGCACCAGGAATGCCACCGGTGCCCCTCTACTCCAAGTTGTTTGTAGATGAATCTATCACTTCAAGTTGTTTGTCGCAACAACCTATGTAATGGAGGAGAACCATAAGCAAGCAAAATCGTATAGCATTGTACTGACGAACTTTTTTGTCAAATAAAGTACTTATATCAGTAGACACTGCACATCACTTTCAGAACAAACAAAAGCTTAGAAAGAAGGAAAAGAAAAAACAAAAATAGAAATGAGTAGACTGAGAAGTTCCACCCAATGAAACGGCAAAAATGAAGCTTGGGCTGCAAATAAATAACGGTCAACAGGGACCGTGAAGCAGAAGAAAGCTACAGAGTTTATGAGGGCATTACTGCTCTGCATTATACTGATATATGCAGAGTTAAAACCAAGAACTCTAGCAGGTGGACCAACAAAATTTACCCAGAAAGGTATCTTACCATTCTGGTATCCCAGGCAAGCATAAGCAGATAGAGTCTTCTGTTATCTTAATATGTTGAGAAACTTCAGCTAACAATGCAATGGTACAAGGCCTATAGACTAATCTTGATAACTTTAATTCTAACCCAAAGTTGACCCTTGAAAAGACAACAAAGTTGCAAAAACAGACAAGATACCACAGGTTCATGCGCAAAACACACCTACCTAAATCTCCCGCTGAACACATCTACGCCCTCTTCTTATCTTGTACTGGTCCTTTGGAATTTTGCTCAAAACCTTGGAATCAAAGACAACATATATTTTCTTGATTTCCTGCACTGCTTTCTCAGCGAATGGATCCACTTTATCGTCATACCTCTGGAAAAAGGAACTGTATGAATGACTACATATGCGGCTTCACTGGGAGGAAGACCATGAAAAAGTGTATCAGTTAAGAAGATATAGCAAATACAAAAGGAACATAAAATCACAGAAAAATTGCACTGACATATGTAAAACAGTGTCAAGAAGTTGCAGCAATTGCTCACAACTGAGAAGACCCATAGATCAGCAATGACGGCGAGGAACTTCTTCAGATCTCTCCCAGATGCAATTTCACGTAACACTGTAAGAGCATGGTTAATTCAATCCGCAGAGCAGAAGGGATCTCAAGGCAGGCTTTGGCTCTTCTGGAAGGTGAACTTCTGGGATATCTGGTGGTTTCTTGTTAATACAGGTTGTTGCATTGCACAACAAGACAATGCAAGGGTGAAGATCAAAGGTGACAATTAGACCGATCAGGTGGTATCGAGCATTCAAAAGAACCAAGATGAATGTACGCCAACAGATATCTTTTTGTTCCTCAGAAAGTCCATCAGGAGATCTGCTTCCGCCAAAAAATTCGTGAACCGGCTCTCCCCTCCAAACAGCATCAAAATCTTGCTCTTGACCAGTGCTAGTGACCCCACTGCCACAGCCATAGGATCATCCTCCCTGAGCTGCGATTCAAGTACCAAACCCGAGATACAAAAGGAACCTGAAAGACTTGAAAGTAAAAACTATGAATGCATTGCCCAACAGTAAGCAGATAGATACAAGCTCACATAAGCTTACAGTATCATCAATCTCATCAAAGACTAACAAAAAAAAGAAGTGACGAAACATGAGTTAGACATTAAACTATGAAAAGTATACTACCAACATGAAAAGACTAACCCGACGAAGGCCTTCATGTTCACGTTGTCATAGATTGAACAACACTCCGCTACATGTCATCTTCCAAATCCACATGTCATGTTCTCTTGCAACCTAAATAAAAAATCCCTTGATCAGCAAAAGAATAAATTCATGGACTTGAAAAATATGAATAAACCTTATTGGTACCATAGCAAACAGGAGGTGAAAGGTCCAATTGTAGGACTCATGCTTGCAACAACTCAATGGTTGACATAAAAGAATATTGAGGAAAAGGTTTGTATGACACCTTCTCAGTCCTAGTAATATCATGGCTACTCCACCGTCAGCAAGTTACAGAGCAAATATATCATTGACAGCTGCCCTTTACGGGAACAACTTCTATCATCAGCTGACAATCCCTTGTTTGCGCCTGGCGTCAGCTCAAGAGAAGACATTGCCTCTAGGTTTTGACAATATTTCAAATTGTTGTGCATAGGATTCTACAAAGAATTCTTTTTCTGTAAATTTCTTCTTCCAAGCTTATTCATCAGAAAATAACTGAATATGCCAGCAAATGGCCTTACAATAAATTTACTGCTTAAAATTATAACCACCAATTTGATCGGCTCTTCTTCAGTCATTAATTGCCTAGCGAGATTCCTCACCAGGACGATCCCGTCATTTCATTCTTCTGAAAATCTAGTAAGAAATGAAAATTTTCCTCTTGATGAATCGCCAGTGTCCCTATAATTGGAAACATCAAACATACCATCCATAAACCAACATACCTACATCACCAGATTAGCGTCAGATGCACAGTAGCAAGATGGATCAACAATCTTCGTATGCGCAGGATAAGACTCAACATGGTACCCTGAAAGCACTTCCAATCATCTTATAATGTGAAGCTTAAGCACAGCATGCCATTAGAACTCATCTTCGAATGTCTCAACAATTAAACTGAAAAGCACATCAAAGGAACAGTTGATCAATCTGCAAGTCGAGCATCTGTATTATCTTCCAGCAAACTCTCAAGAGCACCCTAGATTTAAAAAAAAATGATTAGACAACAACAACTACGCCTCAGTACCAAACAAGTTGGGGTCGGCTATATGAATCATCACTTCTCCATTTAAGCTCAACTCATGTCATCATCATACCAAATAAAATAAAAGAGAAAAATAAGTTATATATATATAAATGTGTGTGTGTTTGTGTATAAAACAGTATTAATAATAACAATAATAGTTGAAGATCTCTAGCAAGTCCAAAACCTATTCCCAACTAGTAGATATCACCTATATGGATCTTTTACTTCCATTGTATCCTATTTAGCTAGTCTGATTAACAATATCTAATCAGACATGCAGCAAAAATGAAGTTAGTAAGACCTTCCTCAACTTGTAAATGAGCAGGTAAGATCAACATATGCAGAACAAACTCATGCATTTGCTTTAGTGAATCACATTGCTGTACAACTGATCTCCACATAATTTATCTTTTGTGGAAGGAGAAGACTTCAAGAGATGATGCCCTTTGTCACTTCTGGCAACTGAAGAAGAATAATTAACTTTAAGTTGCCACAAGCAGCTCGTAGGCAACGATGTTGAACCTAATAAGGCAAATAAAAATAATATGGACTCGTAACCTCATTGATTGAGATAGTCTATAAGCATATTTGGTCAACAAAACCCCTTACTAATTCTAGAACTGGACCTAATATAGAAATCTTTTGTCTGCCAATGTCTTAAGTCAACCGTCAAATAAAGATATTTTCAGAGATTTATCTTATCTATAGAGTTTATTGCAGCTTCACAAATGAAAAGCTCCATTTATGCCAACTCCATTGATATTCACTAAGTATCGTTATCTGGACCAACCTTATCAAGCGGTTATTACAGCCATTTGGATCCGTAGTAATAACACCCATGAACTTGCAAAGATGATCAGATTCCAACATTACAACTCTTTTTTGATCCTTTAATCCACTACTCAGAGCATTCTATATCAAAAACTATCCACCTTAACAATATTCTAAAGCACAACTGCAAAACAAGCATAGGTTATGCAAAAGAAAGTAACCGGGCACCTAATTTAAATGTGCTTCAGTCAAATTGATAGCTTGAAAGAAGTTGTAATCTTGGATTGGATCCTTTCTTTGCTATTACGGACTCCTTCTTTGCTACCAAAATGGTAATTGGATTTTCTTGACTGATCTGTCTTAATAAAGCAACATATATACGTTTCACTAACTGAATTTCCCAGTTTTGACAATTTGTACAGTAATGTAAAAGCCATCATTCAAAAGAAAAAACTAAACAAAGAACTAAAGAAAAATTCATTACCTCAAATCTCAAAGGCCAAGCTGGTCGCTGATAAACTACAGTATCCTGTCCACAAAGGTCATCAATACAGAGGTACATAGTGGATGAACCAAAATACCTTTTTATTCTTGTAGCCCATACATCCACTCTTCTATTGGTTCAAGGTTAGGCTTATAACCAACATCCTTCATATTGATGGTTAAATGACCCAACATATCATATATCATGTCGCTCTGAGGATGCTTCCTATCTCTAGACACAAAACAGCTTGGATACCCAGAAGTACCAATCCAACTACATCCGACCTCCTTTGACAATCCCATTTTGCGCATTCCTCTTCTTACGTTATCAACAGACTGCCAGTTTCCTTCCTCTGCATATATATTTGAAAGCAGAACATGATAACCGGATATTCTGTCACTCCCCTCTAATTCAATCAGCTTACTGGAAACAATTTTCCCCAATTCAAAATTTCTATGGACTCTGCAGGCAGCAAGGAGTGATCCCCATATTCCCAAGACATTACCCTCTTCGCCCAACTGTTTAGCAAAATTATGAGCTTCATCCAACCGTCCAACTCTTCCTAACATGTCAACCACACAAGCATAGTGCTCTGCTGAGGGCTGAATCCCGTATTCTTCGTCCATCAGCTCAAATATTTGAAGACCTTCATCAACCAATCCAGTGTAGCTGCAAGCAGACAAGATTGCTACAAAGGTAACAGCATCTGGTTTTAAACCATTCTCCCGCAAAGAGTAGAACAGCGCAAGAGCTTTTTTACCCATCCCATGCTGGCCATATCCCAAAATCATATTTGTGTATGTCACAGAGTTTTTCTCAGGGGATTTTAGAAAAATGCTTTCAGCGTAATGAATGCTGCCAGATTTTGAATACATGTCTACCAAAGCCGAGACAACATAAACATTGTTCTCAAACAAATTGCGAATTGCAAAACAATGTAGCTGCTTGCCTATTGCTATACTTCCTGACTGACTGCATGCTGGGAGAAGTGATGCTAAGGTAACAGCATTCGGTTTCACATTCTGCTCCAGCATCTCCTTGAAGTCAACAAAGGATTGTTCAATTAATCCATTTTGAGTGTTTCCAGCAATCATAGAATTCCATGTCGCCTGATCTTTATCATTTGTGCAGTTTGACTGAAATATTGCTTGTGCTTCTCTAATCATGCTAGATTTGGCATACATGTCTATCAGGTAACTCTCCATCCCTTCAAATTGAATATTGTGCCTCAGAAGATAAGCATGGGTCTGTTTACCGATTTTCCTGTCCCTGAGATTTGATGCCGCAGAAAGCAGAATAGTAATTGTTATAGCATCGATTACAACCCCCAGCTTTTGCATCTCATGTACTAGCATCAAAGCCTCATCATCAAGTCCATTTTGTACCAAAGCAGACACCATGGTGTTCCACGACACTATATCTCTTTCCTCCATTCCACTAAAAACTTTAAAGGAATCACCAACACGGTTACACCTAGAATATGTGGCAACCATAGCATTTAGCAAAATAACCTGTGAATCCATGCTTTTCTTTATCAGACATGCATGTAGCTGTTGAGCAAACTCCAAATGCTGCAACTGTGAAGTTGCCGTAAGAGCGGATACAAATGTCACATCATCAATAGGAACACCGTCCTCTGCTTCTACAGCTCCAAGAAAGAGATCAAGTGCTTTAAAAGGAAAATTGTTCTGAATGTACCCACTAATCATAGAGTTCCAAATCTCTGTATTTCTTTCACAACTATTCTCAAATATTCTGCTCGCCAAATCAATGCAACCAAGATCAGCATACATAACAATCGCAGCACTAACAACAAACAAGTCATTTACATATTCATTACCCAATTTCACAAGCGAACCATAAAGAACATCAGCGACTCTAACATCCCCTATTTCAGAGACAGCAGGAAAGATATTAACAAAACTCACAACAGTCGGCTTAATGCCTATTCTCATCATCATGAAAAAACACCTAACTGCTTCCGAAAACCTCTTCCTTTTAACATACCACGAAAATATGGTATTCCAAGCAACAACATTTCTTTTACGCATAGTTCTAAACACTCTTTCAACTAAATCACAACGAGAACCATTTTCGAATTCGAGACAAGTGGAGTACATATTCAACAAAGAATTACACACAATCCTACTAGGGTGAATACCCGAGCGAAGAATGTGGCAGTGCACGGCTTTACCTACAAGAATCCGTTTCGTCTCAGCGCAAGCTTTGAGAACAGAAGAATAAGTATACTGATCACATGTCGATGAACCCACATGTTTCAATCGGGAATAGATTGAAATGGCTTCATGGGACAAGTTGTTACAGATAAAACCAATGATAATTGTGTTCCACAGGACAGTACTCGGTTGAGGAATTGTGTCGAACAGTTGGCGTGCGAGATGGGGTAGGCCTTGTCTGCACAGTTCGCCTAAACGGTAACGAATTGTTCTGGGTTTGGACTCGTTTTTTACAGTGCATTGTTGTTCGTCGGTGAGAGTGTTGCTGTGGAGTAGAGAAGAGAAATTTGGGTGATGGGTCAAGGTTAAAGAAGCTGGAGATTGGGAGAAAGTTGAGGAAGAGAAAGGAAGAGGAAGAGGAAGAGCTGAGGAGGACATTGTCAAACGCATTCGGACCTCAAAACTAACAAAAGTCGCAAGCTCAGGAGCTCTTCGAGGATAAACTGGTAGTTATAATTTCAACTGCTACTTATCTTTATGTGAAATATCAAACCGCACCTACATTTTTTCTTTTTTTTTTTGGGTGAAAAAGATAGTTATATATATTATAGCTGACCTCGTAGAAGAGAGCCATTTACAAGATGCATCAAAGACATCATATTTACATTAATAGTAGTTGGTACTAAGGTCCCTGTATAGGAACCAATACTAGAAACTAAACTAGAACCAGGGCATACATTACTATAGTTACCTAGTACAGTACTAGTAGAAGAGTTAATATTACACAAAACTGACTGACGTTGAATTATCCTTCGTCTAAGTATCCCTGCTTGATCTTGTTCATGTAAAGTTGAAGCAAAAGGTGGTGGACTTTCAAAAACGAGACAGATCTCCTTTGCATGTAGAGCTCCATAGTTGGCCAAACAGTCTGCCACACTATTTTGCTCCCTGTAGATATTGTGGAGAGGGGGGCTATCCAGCTGTAGGAGTAATAACCTGCAATCATTAGGGATATTAGTGTATTGTATTGTAGTGCTAGTAAACATACCTAGTAAGGCTTGTGCATCTGTCTCAATGACGAGTGGTGTGAGTTTCTTTTGCACAATAATTTTCAAGCCCATGAGCAAAGCAAGAAGTTCTGTCTGGATAGGTGTCCCATGTATTGCTTTCCCTGCAAATCCTACGATCCAATCTCCTAGGTGATTATGGAAAATACCACCAATACCATAGGTATTCTGTTGGAATGAGCAAGAACCATCAATGTTAAGCTTGTAAAAGGATTTGTTTGGGGGGTGCCATTTGATATAAAGAGGTATTAGAGTGTGAGTTTTTGATGTTGGGTTTGTGAGGTAATAAAAATCCGCAGCATTTTTTTTAGAATAATAGCTGTATTTAAAAGAGTTTTCTTATGATCTAATGTATTTTTATTACGAATAAGCCAAAGCTCCCATAAAGCAAAAGGTATAATGGTGGTGTTGGGGAGTGTATGATGTTTGTATGTTGATTGCTGATGTATAAAATGATGTAACCAAGTTATAGTAGCATTGTGAAATAGAAGCGAGTTTGCATTAATGGTTGAGCTCTTAAGCTTAGCCCACAGTTGTACAACAACAGGGCATTCTAGGAAGAGATGCTGTAATGTTTCAGGAGCCATATGGCACTGTGAACAAATGGAGGAATTAAGAATACCTAGTCGTGTGAGATATGCATTTGTTGGAAGGCGATCATGACAAAGTAACCATAAAAAGAAAGAAATTTTTGGAGGAATATGCACGTGCCAGATCCATTTAAAATCATAAGTAGGATTAGTAGTTGTAGGAGTTTTATTATTGATGATAGCATTATACATTGATTTGACTGAAAATATGCCATTATGTGTGAGAGCCCAAAATATTTGATCACAGGCTATAGAGGCAAAGGGCATATAAATATCAGTGGTGACATTTTGTAAGTGAGGAGGTAAACAAATAGGTAACATATTGAAATGCCATTCATGATTGTAATAGTAATGTGATACTGTTTTGGTATCCTCATATTGTGGAAGGGGTTCATATATGCAATTACGAATTAAAGTATTCTGACTATTCCAAGGATCATTCCAGAATTTGACATGATGTCCCGAGGTTAGGTTCCATTTATATCCTAAACCACAGTATGACCAGCCTTGTAGAATATTACGCCAAGTCATTGAAACTTTTTTTTAATGGAATGGGAAGGTCTTATGTAGTTATGCAGTAAAACCTGTGCCCATAGTTGATTAGGGTTCTGAAATAGCCGTCAAGCAAGGCTTGCATGTAAAGCCTGATTTTTGATAGAGAGTTCTGTATGCCTAGTCCTCCTTGAGCTAGAGGTTGTGTAATGGTAGCCCACTTTATTAAATGGAGTTTTTTCTTTTGTGGAGTTGTTCCCCAAAGGAAATTACGTTGATAACGGTTGAGATAAGAAATTATGTACGAATGAATTTTAATGTATTACATAAGATGATTAGGAAGATGGTTTAAAGTGGAACGAATTAGAGTAGTCCTGTCTGCTTTTGATAAGAAACTGGTTTTCCGTCCTGCTAATTTATTCTTAAAATTATCAAGAAGAAATTGATAATCTTGCTTAGTAGGCTTCTTAGTAAAAATGGGAAAGCCTAAGTATTTTCCAAAGCTTTTCCCTTCATTCATCTTGAAAAGTTGTAGAACAATATCTCTTATATTAGGAGAACAATTATTGGAGAAGAAAATTTAGATTTTTCAAAATTTATAGTTTGTCCTAAGTGGTATGTAAAGTGAGCAATAGTATTAACAATGGATTGACATGACTTATCAGTTATTTTAGAAGTGAAAATAATATCATCGACAAAGAATAAATGAGATAACTGAGGCCCCTTATTCCCCATTGAGATTGGAATGCAATTATGATAATCCACTGATGCATTTATTTTTCTTGAAAGCATTTCCAAGCATAGAATAAATAAGTAAGGTGATAAAGGAACTCCTTATCGGATATCTCTCGTTTGTGTGAAGTATTCAGTAGGGTTACCATTTAGTAAAATAGAGTTTGTACTAGTTGTTATACAAGACATAATGAGTTGGATAAAAGAGGGTGGGAAATTAAGGGTGAGTAAGGTATTATAAATAAACGACCACTCTAATTTATCAAAAGCTTTTTCCAGGTCCAGTTTCAAGAGCATGTTTAGATTATTACCCTTCTTCTTTTTAAAATTGGTAATCAATTCTTGTACAATGATAGCATTATCAGCTGCTCTTTTATTTTTCTGGAAACTAGATTGAGTTGGATGAATAATATTCTCCAAAATAAGTTTTAGTTTGTTTACAATAATCTTTGTAATAATTTTATAGATCGTATTACAAAGGCTAATAGGCCGGAAATGTGATATTATAGATGTTGTTTTATGCTTAGGTATTAGACAAATGAAGGTTGTGTTGATAGCAGGATCAATCTTGTATTCGTAAAAAACTTTGTGACAAAAGTATTTAACAGAGTTACCAATTATGTGCCAATATTTTTGATAAAATAGTGGATGAAGTCCATCTGATCCTGGTGCTTTTAGAGGTTTAAAGAACTTAATAGCATTGATAATTTCACAGTCTTGCAAAGGATTAGTTAAAGCTGCTTGATTAGTGATTGTTAAAATATTGCAAGGTTGTAAATGATTACTAGTGGTAAAACTAATTTGTTGTGTAGTAAAAAGATGTTGATAATAATAAGTAATATGATCCCTAATATAATAAGGATTTGTAATCCAATTTCCCCCTTGGTCTTGAAGGGCAGTAATACGATTATGTCTTTTACGATTTAAAGTACTAAGGTGAAAAAACTTTGTATTTGCGTCTCCATCATTTAACCAATCAATACGTGATTTTAATTTCCAAAAATCCTCCTCAAGTCTAAGGATTTTATTAAATTCCATATTTAAAGTATATTCCAGATTATGAAGAAAAATACTAGTTGGGTAATGTATAGAGGATTGAATACCGTTCAAACAAGCCATTAAATTCTTTTTACGGTGACATAAATTACCAAAAGCAGATTTATTCCACTCTTGTACTGTAGTAGTAAAATTATTAATGGCAGGTAGCAAATATACATTTTCAAGCCATGCTTGTTGAACTACAGTTGTAAATGTAGGGTGTGTAGTTCAAATAGTTTCAAACCTAAAGTTTTTTTTACGAGGTAAAAGACAGTGTTGAAGTTCTAATTTTATAGGACAATGGTCTGAATGTGTGCGAGGAAGATGTGTAGCCAGTGCATCAGGGTATTGTTTAAGCCAATCATAATTAGCCGTAATACGATCAATACGTTCAAGTATATTATAACTATTATGCCTACCATTTGTCCAGGTATAACGACTGCCTTTGTATCCTAAATCCATTAATCGTGAATAATTTAGATAGTCTAATAGTTTGTTAGCTCTAGAATTATTAATAGATAAACCACCAAATTTATCATTTGCATGCAATATCTCATTAAAATCACCACCTAGTAACCAAAGACCCTTATAATGATCATATACATGCATTATATTTTGCCATAACGATTGTCTAGTTGCTAAGTCAATACTAGCATATATGGCAGTAAACAAAAAAGTAAATGGAAAGGGAAACACCTGAATATGACAATGGATTATTGAGAGGTAATGGCCACTTGTTCCACATGAATCACATCTGAAAGCCATAAAAGAGCAATTCCTCCTGACAGTCCAATGGCAACAACTTCAATTAAGCCATTACAATTAAAATCCTCCTTAACCATTTGATGGCTTTGGCAGTGAGTTTCCAACAAAACAACCAATAAGGGTCTATTGTAATCTAGTAAGGAACAGAAATTTCTTCTAAAACCATCTGACTGAGCACCCCGACAATTCCAAATAATAAAATTCATATAGCTAAGGGTGTCAGGTTCTGGACTGGTCCTATGATTCCTGTGGCTGCTTGACTGCCCCGGGCGAATTAGAAACGTGAGAAGTAGAAGCATGGCATACTTCCTCACGTCTGGATTTGTAGTTGGCCTTAGTCTGAATGATGCTTTGAGTAGATTCGGAGGGCACCTTATGTATATCTTTCTTTCGTACTCCTCCTTTTGGACAAAGACCCTGATTCCGTCGAGACATGAGTGAATTGGTCGTGTTTCTCTGTTGTAAATGATTTCTGCTTCTAGTTCTACCTAAAAGTTGATGTCTTGTTCTATTGGATTGGGAACATGGGGTGGTGAGTTCGTTGGTGATGGAGTTGGAGTTGGAGGAGTTAGTGGTTCCAGTGGAATATTTGTTGGTGGAGTCGTGAAGGGTTGGATCCATGGTGTGGCAGGAGTGGGTGGTGGATAAAATGGCATGTGGAGAAGATGTGGGTGGAGGTGCAAGGGATCCCAATATGGTGTTGGTAGAGGAATTGGTTGATAAGGAGCAAGCTATGATGCTTGCATCATGGACCAATGGTATCTCGCATAAATCTCCGTTCCTAACTACATGCCTTCCGCTAAGATCTGTGCTAGGTCCCTTGGATGGTTTATTAGAATTGTCCCCTCTTGGTGATTCACCTCCATTGTGAAGGTTAAGGCATGATTCTGTAAGCCTTTCGCTAGCCACGAAGTGAGTTCTGTTGGTGCATGTGGGGTTTGTGCTGTGTAAATGATAGTGTTGGGTTTCATTTTCAGTTGTGGTGGAGGGTGGGAGAATGGAGTGAGTAAAGGGTTGTGGCGGAGACGATGAGGTATTTGTCTGGGTGTATTTTGTGGTCTGCGAAGGTAAGTTAGATTTGGTGAAAACATTTTCTGTATTGATGGATTGAGATGGTGGTGTAATTGTAGTATTGGAATTAGTGGTATGAAGAAGGCCCGGATTTGAGTGAACTATAGATTGAGTTGATTGTATGGTAGTTTTGGGCAATTTGAATGACTGATTTGTTGGTTGTGTGTTGAAGTGGTTTGAAGGGGTTGAGAGCTCATCATACCCTAGTTGCATGGAAGGTATAGGGTTAGTCATTGGTATTGGTAAACCGGCGGTGGAGTGATTAGGTAGAGAATGTATTAGGTTTTCTTGGGGTGAGGAGTAATGAGTGTTTGGACCAAGGAATGTGGTTTGCATGTGGTAGAGCCTATCGTGTCTATTTGCATGGCTTGGCATTGGCTCTTTTTGTGATTGGACCGACTGGAAAGCCACTTGATTGGAGATTAAGGGAGGGAGTAGATTATTATTAGTTATTGCATTACTTTGATTGGACTGATCCAAATCCCTGTGTATTAGTATAGCAAATTTATTATTCGTTAGTATAGGGGTTATAGGTGGTTGAGAAGTATTAGGAGGATTAAGTATATGATTAGTACTATTAAGAGACAATTTTATAAATGGGAGATTATTAGGGGTAGTAGAGACATACTTACCTGAAGCATTTGTAGGAGTAGCATTCAACTGTGTTACTGCTTGCATTTGATTTACCTTGGGAGGATTAGTTGGTATGGAGCTTTTCCGTTTGGGAAATTGTACTGTCTTCCATTCCTCAGTGGGCTTAACATAATTAGGTGATAAACTAGGGGTGGGATTGGTTGAAGAATTAATATTTTGATCTTGTATATAGGTACAAACCCTTTGATTATGTCCCGTCCGACCACACTTAGTACATAGTAAGTTTAGGCCTTCGTAAAGGATATTTGCTTATGAGTTCCAAGGTAAATATGTGTACGTAAAGGTTGGTCTACCGGTATTTCAACACATAACCTGTCATATCTTCCTCGAGTTGTGGAGGAAGTACATGTATCAACTGTTAACAATTTTCTAATTTTGTTACCTACTTTCTGAAGAATTTGAAAATCATAAAATTCCGTAGGTAATTCAGGTAATCGCAACCATATATCAGAGTAATTGATTTTTGTTTCAGAGGCCATAAATTTAGGTTCCCATTGACGAACCAATAGAAAGTGATTTAAAATGAACCAAGGTCCATCATGTAGCGCATGATTTTTATTTTCTTCTTTTTGGAATTTAAAAAGAAAAAAATCCGATCCTAAATCAATTAGAGGTAGATTTTCAGTAGGTTGCCATAATGTATAGATTTTTTGCCGAAGTATTTGATGTGCTACCTTTCGACCATATACCTTTACAATTACTGCATGTTGCCATGGTTGATATATCTTATTTTTCTCCTCAAGAGAAATAGGAATGAAATTTGATGGATCAGCTGGGGCATCCACTTCATCATTTAGCACCAAGCCAAATTTTGATAATTCATGTGATGCAGTTGGTGCAGTAGTATCATTTAAAGAGATTAGGGTATTGAGATAAGATTTTTTAGTAGGAAAGGTAGTATTTTCTGGAGGCTCTATGGAATCAATCATCATAGTAGTGTCCAAAGTGGTAGGAGTAGTGATAGGGGATGGTAAAGACATTGATGGAGGTGGAAGACACGAGATATCCGGTGGCTTTTGGAGGGATGAAGGAAGGCGGTGGGGAGTTTGTAGTAGAGAGCATAATTATCTGTTTTCATTCGAGTGTAGTTAACCGCACCTACATTTTACTACAGTAGTTTGTAAATTCATATTTTGTTGGACTAAAAATTATTAAAACAAGTTATTCGTTTAATGTTTTCTTCGGGGAAAGGATTTGGTTAAAGAAGTTCTTTGAAACACATTTTTAGCTACAAATTCTTTGTTCATAAAATTCTTCAAGAAAAAATAATTGCTCTTGTAGCTCAGTTGGTTAGAGCATATTTGATTAAAGAAGTTCTTTGAAACACATTTTTAGCTACAAATTCTTTATTCATAAAATGCTTCAAGAAACAATAATTGCTTTTGTAGCTTAGTTGGTTAGAGCACCTATTTAGTAAGTGGGAGGTTTTGAGTTCGACTCTCAACAAGAGCATTAATACATTGCTTTTTCCTTCTTCTTGTGAATATTCATAATTTTTTTAAAAGTTTCTTGAATATTCTTAATAAAAAAATAGTTCTGTTAAATCTAAAACGTGGTGTATATTCTTAAGCTTCATGTGACGATGATTTTTTTTATTTTATTTTTGTCTTGTTGGACACTTTCAAAGAAAAAAAAATCTAAAGGTGATTGCATTTTTATCAATTTTTATTTTACTCTGTATATTACCAATATTGATAATCTTATTCCACATACTAATTAGAACAAAATAATGCATAACTTATACCAAAAAATAGAAAAAAGCATTCAAAGAATGTATATGAATATACGGAGTTTAATTCGATAGTTATACCTCTTATTTTACCAATCAAACGAGCTCTCAAAGTATTTCCGTAAAACTTTACATGATTTGCACAATTGCGAGTTACGTTAGATGTTCTTCTGAAAGATATCCATTTAATTTTTTTCCCAATTAATAAAACTTTAGCAGTTGTAGATTTCCGCCAGAAAGATTCTTTTTGTTTCTCCTTCTTCTCCTCCTTTCTCCTTCTTCTCCATTTCCTTCGTCTCCGTCTTCATCCTTATTCTTCTTTCAATAAATTATAAGTAGACGACTAAAAAAAATTATAAGATATTTATTGTAGGAAATTAAAGACGCATTATTTATTTGTGGTTGAAATTATGTGGTTAATACTCCCTTGAGCTTATATTGTCTATTCTTAATGATTTGCACAATTGCGAGTTACGTTAGATGTTCTTCTGAAAGATATCCATTTAATTTTTTTCCCAATTAATAAAACTTTAGCAGTTGTAGAGTTCCGCCAGAAAGTTTCTTTTTGTTTCTCCTTCTTCTCCTCCTTTCTCTTTCTTCTCCATTTCCTTCGTCTCCGTCTTCATCCTTATTCTTCTTTCAATAAATTATAAGTAGACGACTAAAAAAAAATTATAAGATATTTATTGTAGGAAATTAAAGACGCATTATTTATTTGTGGTTGAAATTATGTGGTTAATACTCCCTTGAGCTTATATTGTCTATTCTTAATGATTTGAATGGTTAGTTGGAGAAATTAAAGAACAACATTATTGAATTTTATTGAGCTTGGATTTTTTTTTTTTAAAGAAACAAAGTGAGTCTATTGGTTTTTAAAGGTCTAAATTGAATCTAACCATTAAAATGATTGGATTTAGTATTAAAAATTAATTTCGACCAATTTTGAAGCAAAAATATTTTGGTATAATTTTAACACAACAAGTTATGGCACCGCATAAGATTGTGTGGCTAATTCTGACAATTTTCAGGATTTGTGATTAAAATTTTGACGATCCATCGATATTTGATCATAAATCCTAGTGATCCATCATAATTTATTGCAAGAAAGAGAGAAAGAATAATGAAAAGGGATAAGTAGATAGGAGAAACTGAGGGGCGAAAAGATGTACGAGAAAGAGAAGAAGGAGAGGAATCATAAAATAATTGGCCTTGTTACTATTAATCTGAAAAAGTAAATTATTTATTAGAATTTTGACGTACATTAATTGGTTATAGCGTGAGAAAATGTGATGTAGCTCAAGTGATAGATTAAATAAAAGATAGTACAATTAATATTTAATTGCGTATGGATAAGTAAAGCACAACTTTTGATATGTGATGGTAAGGCATTCTCTATAAATAGATGTCAATCCTCTTTCCCTAGCTATGAGAAAATCCTAACGTATTCTGCTCTTGAATACATGGTATATCTGCTGACATCTCATCAATGGATTTCTCTGGATTGTGAGGGCATGATAGCTAACACATCGTAAAAGTTAGTCTCAGGTTTAACCATTATTTGTTGTCGCTGCTGAAACAATAAAGTTGAACAGTATGTGTATCTAGCCCTAACTCAAGATTATCCTTCTATAAATGTATTGTTGTGTCTTAATCTCTATTGTGGTATTACATAAATAATTTTACAGTTGGTATAAGAGTCATTCTCTATTCGGCAAATTGATTCAATATCGAGACTTGCTATACATAACTGTATTGGGATTGGTTATTCCTTGCTAATATATTTCTTTTATATAGAATTTTAGACCAGTTATGTATAGGATTCGTTCCTCATACATGTATCTAATTTTAACACAATTGACTTATAGTACAATAAAGAGTCTATACAACTCATCTATTGTTTAAATTATGCGACTGGTTCAAACAAAAAAAAAGGAAGAAGAGGTGTCGCTGAAATTTTTATGGCAGCAGTAGAACGATGAAATATTAAAGGGAAAAGGGGCTAATTTACCCTTTAATTTTGGTATATTGTTCACATCTATCCTCCATTATATTATTGGGTAAAATTTAGCCTTACCATTAGTCAATCTTTTTAAAAGTAGCCTCCACCTAATAGAAAGCCACCAGATTAAAAAAATTTACCCGTTTTTAAAAAAAAACTCATTGACCCATAACCCGTTAAACCCATCATATAAAAATAAGGGACCAGATTTTTTAGACGTCTTAATATATTTTATTTATTTAGAGAGTGACTAAGAATGATGGTGGTAGTAAGATTAGTAAGAGCTTTTTTTTTTTTTAGTTCGTAGTTGTTTATGGTAGCATTAAGATGTCAAATTATCACTTTTGGTTGTGTTTTTTGTGGTTATAATATGTCATCTCTTTATCTAATGTAATGCACACTTGGCCGTTGGTTTGTCTGTTGGTAACAACTGATAATGTAATTTAACAACTTGTGTTGGTTAATACATGAAGTTAGTGTACTTATGTTGTTAAGTTACTTTTCAACTTGTTGGTGTACTTTCTTTCATTACTAATGAATTTCTTAGACTGTACCTTGATATTAAATTGAATCTTCTCTAATTATTTTTTAATATTTATTCATTATAAGTTCAGTTATTACTAAGAGCTATGAGTATATCATCCCATAGCTTGGAATCTAATTTTGGTTCTTAAGGTATGATTTGGCGAGAATTACTCGTTGCCCAAGTGATTAAAGTAGAATAAGAAAATCATGATGTGCGAATACTCATGTGATAACTCGAAAAGTCATCTTATATTTTAGAACTCAACTCTGTGCTTTTGAGCCTTAAAAATCTCATTTTACCCTCCTCGATTTGCATGGGCAGTTCGGTCGTGCGTCCGGAAAGCTTTTATGTTAAAAGTTGATGAAAATAATAAATTTTGCCTAAAAACTTCATTTGAGTTGACTTCGGTCAATATTTTTGGTAAACGGATACAAATTCATGTTTTAATTGTCCCGGTAGGTCCGTATCGTAATTTGAGACTTGGGCGTATGCCCGGAATCGAAATCGGAAGTCCCTAGCCCGAGATATCGGACTTTATCGAAATTTGAAAGTTAGAGAATTAATGAAATGGAGATGTTTGACCAAGGTTTGACTTTTTAGATATCGGATCCGTATTTTAGTTTCGGAACCCGATATAGGTCTAATAGCCTATTTATGACTTGTCTGTGAAATTTGGTGAGAAACGAAGTTGGTTTTACGTGATTCGGACGTCCGATTGAGAAATTAAAAGTTTCAAAGTTTTCTTGAAAATTTCATTTGATTTGATGCTAAATTAGTAGTTCTAGGTGTTATTTTGGCGATTTGATCGCCCGAGCAAGTTTGTATGATGTTTTTAGACTTGTGTGCACTTTTGGTTTAGAGCCCCGAGGCTCGAGTGAGTTTCGGATAGGCTACAACGTGAAATTGGAATTAGGCATTGCTGGTATCTATAATTTCTTGGAATTGGCCTCTGGTCTCGCATTTGTGAGGTCAGAGTTCGTAATTGCGATCATGACAGTTTCGCATTTGCGAGCTACTCATCGCAAATGGGAAGAGTAGTTGGTCCACTGTAAGTTCGCATTTGCGAGTTTACCTTCGCATTTGCGAAGGGAGTTTGGGAAGGGCAGTGATCGCGAATGCGATCATTGAGTCACATTTGCGGAGATTCAAGGCCGCATTTGCGAACTTATCTTTTCATTTATGAAGGCAACAAAAGTGTGAAGGGCTTCGCATTTGCGACCTTCACATTTGCGAAGCTCAGACCGCAAATGCGACATCTGCAGCTGTGTAAAAGTGACTTAGACGGGATTTTTCTCCCATTCTTCAAATTTTCAAAATCTAAAACACAAGAAGCGATTTTCCATAGAACTTTTCTTCCCCAAATCATAGGTAAGTGATTCTAAACTAGTTTCTTTCAATCTTTCACTTTATTTTACAAGATTTCAACCTAGAATCTAAGGGTTTCATGGTGGAATTGGGGATTTTTGGGTAGAAACTAGGGATTTCGAAAATTGAGGATTTAGACCTCAAATTGAGGTTGGGTTCCAAAACCAATTATATATCCAGGCTCGGGGGTGAATGGGTAATCGTATTTTGGTCCGAATTTCGGGTTTGGACCAAACGGGCCTAGTTGTTGACCTTTTTTATAAAATGACCTAAATTGAATTCTTTGCAATCGTGGGTAGTTCCTAAGGCTTAATTTGAATCGTTTGGTTGGTAATTTGCTAGATTCTATTGTTCCGGGGGCTTGTTTGAAGGAAAAAGCTGTGGTTAAGCTTTGAGTTTGACCGTTGGAGCGAGGTAAGTGTCATGGTTAACTTTGACTTGAGAGATTTGGTCTTATTTGCCTATTTGCTATGTGTTTGAAAGTTGAGTACAATTTATAGGTGAGGTGATAAGTACCTATGCGTTGTTGTCAAGTCATAGCATGAGAGTGAGTCTTATTCATGAACTTGCAGCTTTCCACGATCATATTACCCATGCTTAGACTAGTTTATCGTTATGTTGAACGTTCTTATCATATTTACGGATTTTGGTATTGATTTGAGTATTGATTCAAAGTTGAGGTTGGTATTGTGGAACCAATTATTGAAGTAAGACTTGTTCTTGATATTTCTATCTCCCTATTGTTATTGTTCATTGTTTTGGCAAGGGAGAGTATTAATGTACGAAGTGTGATGCCGTGCCATATTTTATGAGTGTTAATGCACGAAGGGTGT